CCCATTGCTGCTGCCTCCACCGCCACACTGTGGCTCCACACTCTGGTTTTGGCCCCGTGACTGCCCAAATGAGTGAAGTGTGCGGTGATTCTAAGATCGACGGCACTCATCTGCATGTCATTCTGACTGACAGTATTATTTCTCTTCCCCAGCAGACTCCAAGGGCATTTAAATTAAAGGTACAGTGTTCTGCACTAATATGAAGGCTCTCTGAAGCCTAGAAACACCCTTTTATAAGTTAAATTCGCAGCGAATATATTCGCATCGAATCGAATTTATTCCTCGAATTCGCCGAATCGAATTTTTGAATACTTCGCTCATCTCTAATCTTCAGTAGAATGGGCTGTTGACATTTTTTCTTAGGAAAGGCCTTATGATCTCTTTCCTATTAAACACTTGACCTCCGGAAGATTGATCACCCTTCATGACCAAGCCGTTTTTTGCTATACATCACTGCGTTACTTTTACTGATAATTGCACTTTTACTGCAAATGCAACATTGTACATAAATACAATTTTTGTAATTGTTTTCAAAATTGTCTGTGTCCCGATTGTGGAAACTCCCCCTCACTTTCCATCCAAATAACATCTTGGGGTTGACATACTAAATGCAAATAGGCTGTTCACTTTGCAAGGAAAATTTCCCCAAGGCTTGGTGAATGTAGTGGTGTTGGAATACAATGTTCATGCATTTTTGTGCAAGAACTACTACATCAGTATTCAGTAGAGATATATTCTTCAACCAGTAGATGGCAATGTTTATAAGTTTGTCACTGCATCTATGATTACACTCTATGTCTTTTCTCTATAATAACGTTCCTGTTTCCTGTTACCAGAGAATCGGCAGATAAACACATGTGGACTGTCTTTTCTGTAGGACTATATACAGAATCTCTAACAAGGGAAATTTCACTTTACAAAGAATACCCAATCACATGCAAGGAAAATAAAATAAAAAAACAGCATGGTATGCCAGGGTATCAATGGAACAAGCAGTCAGAGAAAATCTCCCAAAAGGAACTCAAACAGCAATAAAAACCTAACAGAGGTTTGAATCCTTCCGTGTGATATACTAAATTAAATAAAAAGTTTTGAATAGAGCTGTAACTTTATAAGATGTATGCTGTATCATCGTTCTTCTTCAGTAATGTCTGTATAGGCTTTTGAGTTAACCTGAGCTAAGTAGGAAATGGTCATGGTTTTTACAAAAAAGCAGTTTAGTTACCTAAGGGAACATTTGTCTGATGCTTTTGCCATTGCCCTGCAGACACATTTGAATCGATGGGAGAAGTGGACACAGGAGCCTTCAACCTTTGCTCCTTTCAGCTCCATGCCACTTTTCCAAATGGCACTGACTCGTGTTGTGAGCAAATTTATGACAAAACAATTACTGAAGGCCAAATGGAGATTCCTTTTCCAATTCCCTTCCCTCAAAACAAGCAATAAACAAGAACCGGAGTATAAAGAATGTCATTACAAACCATGTATAGGCTCTCAGGCCCCAAAGATACACATTTCAAACATATACAAGAAACTGCATTATTTTATTGAACACTAGCAGGAGAAAAAGGGGATTCCTCATAGGACAGTACATAGAGCTGTAGTTCTTTTCCAAATATCTCCCCCTTTGCATATGTTCATAATAGCCTCTCCAGCTTTTAGCCCCTGGAGAGATGATTCCATCTGTATTTTTTTCATCACTGCAGCCTGCTGGTGGATTGAACATCTATTGCTCTGTAGTCACAAAGCTTATTACCTGTTTCCAAAGTCTCTAATGAAAATCTGCCATTCTCTGACTCAGAAGCTGTATACTTGCAGTGAAGATAAGTAAGGGCATTTAGCTTTGCTGCAAGTAATGCCCTGGGACTAGCAAGAAACCTATGAGCTAGAAAATGTCACCTTTCATCTGAGATTTCTGAGATAGGCATTTTGCCTTGCAACAGATTACCTTTATGCTGAACATTATAGTATCCAGTTATGTTAACATTTGACTTTGAAATAAACTCAAAATCTACCCAAAATTTCCAGAATTCAATTTAGATCAAATTTTTCTAATCCAATTTGTATTGACATTAATGGGTGACTATTTTGAAGGTCACTTTTGGTCTTTTTTAGGGTGGTTACATAATCTATTGTCACCCAAATGGCATTAGGAAGCCACAGCAGTGAAGGAAGGTTCATCATACAGCTTCAAGGACAACAAGGGAAAAACAATCCTCAAAATAACGAGTCTAGTGGATTTTTTAAAGCTGTATGTAGTGTTTTGGAACCATTACAGTTTTTTGGGACAGCATCAGTGACAGTATACTCTGACAGGTCATATTTGGCTGTGAAATGTAAATTTCTTTGCAAATTAGCTTTGTTTACAGAAAGCAGTGTCAGTATTATTGACAGCAATAAGATGTGTGGGTGGTTTCCACCTTTCGAAGCCTTGCTACCCTAGACCATGGCCAGTGTTGGCTAAGCAGAAATCTGGACACAAGGCTTTCAGTTAGGACAAAACCTTTTGGCCATAAGATTCTGTGCTGTAAAACATTGTTTGCATTGAGTTATAACTGGTAGGGTTGGGAATTTCACAAGGCCAAAAAAATTAACAAAAACCTCCCACAGGTTACAAGCACTAAAGAGATTTCAATAGCAGGGTGGTTGGGTGCACTGGATGGAAAACATAATTTCATCCTGAAAGTTTGTGGAATGGGACATTTAACCAAAGGTTTTAAAAATATTAATTTTTACATTTCAAAGAGGGAGTGTTAATTAAATATCAGAACTAGAGATGAGCGAATCGAACATGGCGAAGCGGAATTCGTTTCGAATATTGGGAAATATTCGATTCGCGCCGAATCTGAAAATTAGCCAACTTCGGATGCACGAATCGAATTTTCCCAAAAATGGCGGCGACATGTGTGGCGACGGAGCGGGGATCTCTGGGAAGGCGCGCAGACAAGGCGCGCTGACCCATAATGCATTCATTCATGACATGTGATCGCATTAGCCAATCAGCAGCCAGCCAGCCAGCACTGTGTAATGGTGGAGCTATAAATTGCGGCCATCTTACAATTCTCCATTAGCCTGCGGTCATTCAAGAGAGACAGACCTGTCTGTATTAGGGACAGAGTTAGGGCCAGAGAGACTTTAGGGCCACAGAATCGTTACATAGGGACACAGAATCGTTACTCAGGGACACAGAATTGTTAATCAGGGACACAGAATTGTTACTCAGGGACAGACACAGAATTGTTACTGAGGGACACAGAATTGTTACTGAGGGACACAGAATTGTTACTGAGGGACACAGAATTGTTACTCAGGGACACAGAATTGTTACTGAGGGACACAGAATTGTTACTGAGGGACACAGACACAGAATTGTTACTGAGGGACACAGAATTGTTACTGAGGGACACAGAATTGTTACTCAGGGACAGGCACAGATTTGTTACTGAGGGACACAGAATTGTTACTGAGGTTACTGAGGGACAGACACAGAATTGTTACTGAGGGACACAGAATTGTTACTGAGGGACACAGAATTGTTACTGAGGGACAGACACAGAATTGTTACTGAGGGACACAGAATTGTTACTGAGGGACACAGAATTGTTACTGAGGGACAGAATTGTTACTCACAGAATTGTTACTCAGGGACACAGAATTGTTACTCAGGGACAGACACAGAATTGTTACTGAGGGACACAGAATTGTTACTGAGGGACACAGAATTGTTACTGAGGGACAGACACAGAATTGTTACTCAGGGACACAGAAATTGTTACTGAGGGACAGAATTGTTACAGAACAGAATTGTTACTGAGGGACAGACACAGAATTGTTACTCAGGGACACAGAATTGTTACTCAGGGACACACAGAATTGTTACTCATGGACACAGAATTGTTACTGAGGGACACAGAATTGTTACTGAGGGACAGACACAGAATTGTTACTCAGGGACACAGAATTGTTACTGAGGGACACAGAATTGTTACTCAGGGACAGACACAGAATTGTTACTCAGGGACACAGAATTGTTACTCAGGGACACAGAATTGTTACTCAGGGACACAGAATCGTTGAATTAAAGAGTATGTCAGACAACACACGCAGAGGAGTGGCAGAGGAGGCAATGTTTCAGGAGCGAGCAGACGTGGCAGCAGAGGAAGGGGTCGAGGCAGCACTAGTCGCAGCCAGAGGCCAGTGCGCCCGGTGTCATCCAGCGTCAGGAACGGGGGGAGACATCCGCCTCTTCAGCAGCCAGGCGAAGAAGTACTGGCGAGGAGAGTGGCTCGGTAGCCGGTCTAGAGACAGGTCTGTCTCCTGACCCACACGCAGCCGAGGGGGCTAGTAGTGAGGCGGAGACCCTAATTGATGATGATGAGGCTGATCGCACTTGGCAGCCTCGTCGTCATCAGGCAATTGCTTCCGCATCATCAGGAGAAGAGGGTGCCAGCTTGGCAGCGAGCAAAACAGTCGGTGGGTTGCCCAGGGCAGGGGTCCACGGAGTAGGAGTAGAGCACCAGCTCCACTGCAGCCTACCACCCACGGCCAGTAGTGGTGCCGGTGTGCACGGAGGAAGTAGCAGTCAGCCAGTGAGGAGTATCGGGGGCAAAGTTTCCTACTCGGCGGTGTGGCAATTTTTCGTCAAGCCGCCCAAGGAAGTAAACGTAGCCGTATGTCGACTATGTGGCCAGAAAAGTCAAGCGTGGCCAGGGGGCCCATGTCTCCATCGCCACACTCTGCCATGTGCCACTTTCAGGTCTCCTCACACTGCTGGTGGGTTCCATTTTGTCATAGGGTGCTGGCAGATTACGGGCCTCCCATTGCTGCTGCCAGGCCCGTAATCTGCCATGGGCCCCCGTACCGACTCCTCATGCTGCTGCCAGGCCCGTAAACTGTCATGGGCCCCTGTACCGCCTCCTCATGCTGCTGCCAGGTCCAGAGTGTCTCATGGGTCCCTGTACGGCCTCCCATTGCTGCTGTCTCCATCGCCACACTCTGCCATGTGCCACTTTCAGGTCTCCTCACACTGCTGGTGGGTTCCATTTTGTCATAGGGTGCTGGCAGATTACGGGCCTCCCATTGCTGCTGCCAGGCCCGTAATCTGCCATGGGCCCCCGTACCGCCTCCTCATGCTGCTGCCAGGTCCAGAGTGTCTCATGGGTCCCTGTACGGCCTCCCATTGCTGCTGTCTCCATCGCCACACTCTGCCATGTGCCACTTTCAGGTCTCCTCACACTGCTGGTGGGTTCCATTTTGTCATAGGGTGCTGGCAGATTACGGGCCTCCCATTGCTGCTGCCAGGCCCGTAATCTGCCATGGGCCCCCGTACCGCCTCCTCATGCTGCTGCCAGGTCCAGAGTGTCTCATGGGTCCCTGTACGGCCTCCCATTGCTGCTGTCTCCATCGCCACACTCTGCCATGTGCCGCTTTCAGGTCTCCTCACACTGCTGGTGGGTTCCATTTTGTCATAGGGTGCTGGCAGATTACGGGCCTCCCATTGCTGCTGCCAGGCTTGTAATCTGCCATGGGCCCCCGTACCAACTCCTCATGCTGCTGCCAGGCCCGTAATCTGTCATGGGCCCCTGTACCGCCTCCTCATGCTGCTGCCAGGTCCAGAGTGTGTCATGGGTCCCTGTACGGCCTCCCATTGCTGCTGTCTCCATCGCCACACTCTGCCATGTGCCACTTTCAGGTCTCCTCACACTGCTGGTGGGTTCCATTTTGTCATAGGGTGCTGTATGGCCTCCCATTGCTGCTGCCTCCTCCACCACACTGTGGCTCCACACTCTGGTTTTGGCCCCGTGACTGCCCAAATGAGTGAAGTGTGCGGTGATTCTAAGATCGACGGCACTCATCTGCATGTCATACTGACTGACAGTATTATTTCTCTTCCCCAGCAGACTCCAAGGGCATTTAAATTAAAGGTACAGTGTTCTGCACTAATATAAAGGCTCTCTGAAGCCTAGAAACACCCTTTTTATAAGTTAAATTCGCAGCGAATATATTCGACTCGAATCGAATTTATTCCGCGAATTCGCCGAATCAGCCGAATTGAATTTTTGAATACTTCGCTCATCTCTAATCAGAACATCTGCATCAAACCCATATTTTTAACATAAAATACAGTACACAGGGCACTTTGTGCCTTTTAAAAACTCCTTTGAAATACATGTGAAGTGCTGTTATGCCGTTCATCGAGAGTCCATCTGTTTAAAGCCATTAGTTTAGGCAATACAGTGGCAATTGTTTGTCTGATAAGGCTCAATATATATTTCTATTTCTGTTATGAAAATCAAAAATATAACAAAGATGCCTACATCACTTCAAAGACAATAACAAAAAAACTGAATTGAGCTGGCTATGCCAAGCACACATAAATGCACATGGTGCTCAAAGTTTTATTTATCCATTTCCAAAGTTTATGGGCATACTCAAGGAATGAGTCTGTCCTGTTTATCTGCTCAATAAAGTGGATCGCCAACCAAACTTCTTTTAGCTCCCACCAAAATTCACAAAAACAAATATTCAATCAGATAAAGATTATACTGGCAGTCCTCCATTTTATTAGTCTTACGACCAATTCCCTGTTAAGGCAATTTTGTAAGGGGTCAAAATATGACTGAAGAGGGAAGGCAGAAGAGAGCAGCATTATCACATAGGGCATTTCCAGGCAAAAATCAGCCACAAATCATAACATGCAGGGGTACAAGAATATAAAAAAATAAGTAAATGTGAAACTTCAGTTGTGCTTGGATACTGTGAAAGGTTCAAACTCCCACTGGGTCTGTAATGCTGTCTGTTATACAGAGACAGAGATCTTCCCTTGCCTAGCACATTTCTTCATAGAGCTGGTCTTGCTGGCTCCCCTCTCTGGAATGCATTCTTTATATGTTACCATGTGAAATCTACTAGGATGACAAAATATTGATGATGTCACCAGCCTCCCAGTGCATTCTTCATAGAGCATAAAGTGTAGGGCAAGTATCATACATTGAATGAATTTCAGAGGGAGAAACCAGGAAATTCACCTCACAGCAGAATTTAGCAAATCAGACTACACCTTCAGTGACATCACAAGCTCTTTATACCCAAAACATACCCCTACCAATTATATATTCAGAGTAGGTAACCACTCCTAAAGCTGGCCACAGATGGATCGAAATTCAACTAGTTCAGCAGGGACTGGCCAAATTTTGATTCATCTAAGGCAGATCCCATTCACAAAAAGTTGATCAAATTCCCAAAATGGGCTTGTTGAAAAATGTAATGTTCAATCACCATTGCAGCCAATCGGCTGCTCGCTGATTAGTGTATTCTAACAGCAGAGGAGATCCCACTGTCAGAATACAATAACACAGTGCGGAGATTTCCTCCATTGACCTAGCTTGTGTGGATCGGGGAATCCGTTCAGTTTTTTTAGATCAGAAAAAAACTGATCAATGCATGGCAAGCTTTAAAAAGACGAAAACATATTGGCAAATACAATCAATGGATTATCAATAGAAAGACAGGAGCAATGGGATCAATGAAACTTGACATTAGTAAAAGCTTTGCAATCTTCTGCATCCCTCTGCACTGATATGATACTCAGACATTGGCAAGCTTTTAAAACAGCTGTATTTTATTATTAACTTTATTGAGTTTACTTGTAGGTGGGGTGCAGCATAGTGTGATGGCAGTAATTCACACAGACAGGTGAAATAGAAAATTTGGATTAAATTAATGCAGTGACAGTTCACAACAACCCAGAGGGATGCCTGCCCAACTGGGTACACTCATGATTTCCAGCTACGTGAAGATAGGTGTCAGCTGGGTTGACAGTATCTGTTAATAGGGCGGAATGCGGCCTGGCCTCGTGCCCAAGTGGGCAAATGTCCAAAGGAGTTGAATCCCTATACTTTCCCTCCTCACCAGGAACCTTTCCCTACCACTAGTATTGTCCCTAACAGATGAGGTATCTTTCCCTACACTGCCGACTCAAAAAAGCGCACCAATCCTGGGAGCCAGAGCCTTAAAAAGGGTTTTCCTGACCCATGATGGCTCCCAGAGTCACATGAGGTTACAGCATCCAATTGGGTGCCCAGTGATCTAGGAACCTATAGAGGAACTGTGTTCCTCCTGACTTCCTCTTCAGCTGCAGTGGAGAAAGTAGACTGCACCTGCCAACATACTGGAGACAGTTCCTGTACTTCTGGACACATAATGTTCTTAGCAATTTTAGCTCCCCCACCAAAGGCTTTAAATAGTTTATATGTCTGAAACTTCACAGGATACAAGGTCAATGTGAGTAAGAAGGGAAGTGATAGTAAGTAAGCTCCTTTTAAATGGTATGAAGATGTGTAAATATGGCACCTCCAGAATACAATTTGCTAGGAAATACAGGTGCTGTGTAGTGCATATAATGGACTTAAGAAGCCTAGTATGCAATTATATTAAAGTGGTAGTAAACTCTCTTCGATGATTTTTACCTACAGGTGAGCTTACAATAAAGCTTACCTGTAGGTAAAATTAATGTCTCCTATACCTGCACCGTTTAGGAGACATTCCTGCTAACAGCAGCCAGTGACATCATCAGCACATGCGTTCTGAAGGAACAGCATACCTGTGATGTTCCTTCAGAGCTCTGTGCCATACCCAGCCAGTGACGTCATTGCGTTTCGGCCAGTAAGGCGGCTGGAGCCCATGAACCCAGAAGAAAGATCAGGTGAAGATGAAAGCCCTGTGAGCGTTGACAGCGTGCCACTGGAGGGCTTCGTATTAAGGTAAGTATTTCATAATGAGCTAGTATGCGATGCACACTAGCACGTTATGATGTTACCTTGCAGGGGGAAACTTTTTTTTTTAGAAGGTTTACTAACGCTTTAAGTTGAAATGGATTTCTATATGCAGATCGTATCAATTCTAAAATGTTCATAATTTAAGGCCCTTTTTTAAGACACACACAAATTTATAAGTCAGAGCAGTGATTTATCCCTTATCAGATGGTATATGGTGTGGATAGAGGAGGAATGTATATACCTCCATTCTCTGTTTCAAAGTTGTAGCAAATCTTGAGGTTGTTTATTAGATAATGTGTTTGCTGTTTGGTGCATTGGCATGTCATCTTTGAACCTATTCCAAAATGCCTTTATTTCTATAGTGGAACATTTGCCGTTCAATATATCATGTGTAAGAAGTATCATCCTTGAACACGGAGGTATATTAAAATATGGGACAATAGTGAGTGATCTGTATGTAAAACCAATGGAAAAACCCCAACACTCACCTACTTGTTGGAGACAATGCGGAGAAACAGGATCACTTCTTCACCTACTTTGGACATGTAAGTCCCTCAAATCCTACTGGAATAGAGTCTTCCAGCTGATCTCCTTAATCGCGGAAACACCAGTGACTCCAAACCCCACTTTTGCTCTCCTACACATAGGAATAGATAAATTCCCTACAGACTCACGCACCATCATTATTCACACTTTAGCAGCTGCAAAAATCAACATTACTAAACTATGGAGATCCACCAAAACTCCCTCTCTTTGACTTCTCATATCTGACCTTAACCTTCAATGTGAGATGGAAAAAAGAACAGCCTTCCACAACTCCTCCTACCACAAATTTAAATTTCAATGGTCTCGATGGTTAAAAAAACCTAATTGTTCAATAAAATGATAACTACAGAATAACGCCACACTATGATCTATACACCGGATTGGTGCATTTCCCCCCCCCCCCTTTTTTTTTCTCCCCCTCCCACCCTCGTCCCCTGCTCCTTCTTCAACCTGTCCCTAACTACTAACTAAGCATGGTTCACTCCACACCGAGTATACCTCACATGTAAACGTGACATAAGTCTACAGTTTCCCCAGCCAAATGGTGGGGACCTTTTTCGTATTTATCAACTGTATTAACTGACTGTGAACCTCTTTCATGTTAATGTTTATATACATTTATCTGTATGTTAAATAATCTGTATGTTAAATAAAAATATTTGAATATAAAACCAATGGATAGTAATAAATGATTACATTATCATAGTTATCATCCAGTTAATGCATTTAGATCAATCCCCAGAGCTCAGTCCAGGAGAGTGACACATATAGTGAGTGATCCAATAAAATGAAAAATGAGGTTGCTAGAAATGAAAGGGAAATTACTAGAGAGAGATTACCCAGAAAAATTATTGACAAAGGAAATTGAATATGTAAAAATGTCAAAACATGCTGTTAATGCATTAGAAAAAAAACCTTCTTTTTTTACTTACCTGACCCCATCTTGATCCGATTGCCGATGTGCATATTTTTCATTGTTAATTTACTCTGTGTGTAAATTAACAATGTCCGTTCACAGGAGCACTTTTAATAAAGGGTTCCTGCTGAACCGACCGAATTTCAGTACATGCGTTCAAGACTTAACTTTGTATACTCTGTATGGCTTGAGAAAGAATCATGTGTGATCCAAAATTGTTCACCATTGTCATTATATTGGGTAGATTTACTAAAACTGGTGCACTCAGAATCTGGTGCAGCTGTTCATGGTAGCCAATCAGCATCTAGCTTGTTCATTTAACATTTGGCAATAATACCTAGACGCTGATTGGTTTCTATGCAGAGCTGCACCAGATTTTGCACTCTCCAGTTTGAGTAAAGAACTCCCACATAACACCCATCCCACTGTATCCTGATTAAAAGCTGTGACAGAGAGCTGTCTTGGTGCACAACCTCATGCCACTATGGAAGCATATGTGTCATAGAAGCATTAAAACCTACCTCTCTTGCCACTACATATATGCGTTATGCGGTCATCAAGAGGTTAAAAAACAATACAGGAGATCAGCCGCAGTGGGATGTGGAAAAAAAGGTATTTTATGAAAAAAATG